AATTATCAAGTACTGATAGATTCTGATTGAAGTTGATTTTAATAAAGACATTTAGCCATCCTCAAAGGTTTTTAATTTTGCGTCCGATGCAGTGGAAATACATGGGAAGAGACATGAAGTGCGAAAGTGGAAGCAAGAAATCATCAATCGGGTCGTAGTTCATCTCTGTGATGATTGATTACCGCCGTGGGCGTGCCCATAAGCACCCCCAACTACCTACTACTGACTACTTTTCTACCAGCGTTTTCCTTAAACTACCATTGTTCAAAAATCTCAGTTTGCACTCGAAATTTCGCTCTCCAATAATCCAATGAGCGAAAAAATCCCTGCCTTGACCCTGACAGGAATGCAAATGGTGCACCTTCACATTTTATTCATCAGATCCTGGAATCCAGACTTAAATAGTAATATGCCGAGGCCTCTCTCCTCCTATTCCTTGTGAATATGAATCACAACTTTATCCTGTGGATTGTAGGAACGGAGGTCAGTTACGCTCGGTGCAGCACTGCGACCCAATATGGCGCTGTACGTGAGAGATGTTGCCGTGTGGCCTGGATTACTATTTTGAGCCTCGGATCGCGGAGATTTCCAGTTCCGAGCCTATTTCTCAGATGCCGGTTCATATTGTCTTGGTGAATCGCACTTTAGGTTATGGCTGAATTCCGGTCCGGATTGAAAAGCAAGAAGGCGCTTCGTTAGGCCTACACCTACTTTTGGGAAGAAGTAAGGTTAGCCACAAATTCCCAAGGATTTCTTGGGTCTAAAGGTAGGATTTATGTCCCGCATTGATTTCCATAGCCACCGTTATACGGGCTTTTCTATCGTGCGCTTAACCTACTTAATCCGAAAAAAGTGTGGATTGATTGCAAAGAGATTGGCTTCTTATCTGTATTTTAGGTCAATTCTGCTTTAAGTGAACAAATATTATTCGATTAATCACATACGCGTAGGGTTACCTGGATGATAGGTCTTATAATCGCTGGACCTGCGTAATGTGGCCTGATAGGGGTAGGTCTAGCCCATAACGTTGGGTGTGAACATTCTTCGGCCTAGTATTGAGCCATGGTCGGTCAGATGACTATTGTCATTCTGCTATGCTTAGGAGAGTGTGGCACAAGGGCTTGACAAAGAGTATAATATCTCCATGATCATTGAAATTGCTTCAGAAAAATGTAGAGCTTGAATTTGTAATGTAGGCCATGCTTAAGGAGTCTATTTTAGACATGGCAGAAATGAAAAATTAGGCTCTGCTCACTGCCCTCTCATAGACTGGCTTGCTCTCATATTGGGGGTAAGGGCTACTGAGCTATGTAGAATGTGGCTCTTCATACATGAGCATTATATAAGTGATAAGATATGAATTGGGAGGATTGATGTTATTGTATATGTTTACATACTATAAATGTTTAAAGGTTTGGTTTTCCAAGTAAAAAATGGTAATAAGAAAGTGAAAAGTGTCACTTAGCTGGATGTTGGACACTAGAGAAAAGTATATTTGACACGAGGAGAGTCAATTGTGATCATGCACAGCTTCAGATGCATGTGGCACTACAATTTTGGTTGATCTCATTGGTGAACATTGATGCATTGTGTTTGGTTTAGGACCATGGCAATGAATTTCTGCCAAAAGTTGAGTGAGGGAGGCCAGATTCCAATAAGGAAGGAACATTTTTGCAAATCCCATAAAAAAAAGTCCAATTAATTTTTCCACATCAAATTTGGACACAAGAAAGTCAATTGTGGGATGGAAATTAAAAAATGCAATATTAGAACTTTCGGTTGCTTAAAAGCTCGTGTAAGTAGTGTAACCGATGGTTCCTGCATGCACAATCATACACCCCTATATGCCTGGAATTGAGTGGCATTCCAGTACAATTGGCCAAGTGATTGCTTTCATAAAGGGGAGCTACCAATTTTGACTTTCCTTGTGTTGGATATGAATATCATAAAAGTCCAAAAAGGATGTCCCATTTGATTTTCCATGTGACATTTGACTCTCATTGGACCTGGAAAACCTACACTTATTATCAATCATAATTCTTTGTGGTCTGACATGATAGGTTGTCAATAGGATTAGCTCCTATAGTGGTGTCATAGCTTGGAATAGAAGCTAGAGTGACCTTTTCTTTTTAAATTTGGAGCTCCCACTACTGGTGTTAGCCCTTCTCGTCTTCATGGAATAAACTTGTGGAATTGCAGATTCTGGGAAAGTTTTGGTTTCTGTGAACATGCTAATCACACCATGCAAAAATTAACTAGGCTAGACAGGAATGGAGAAGTTAATGGTCCTTCAGAACTTGGGATTTAGAACCTACAATAGAAAAAAATATAACTTTTTTGTGCAATCTGGGAAATCAGGAAAATCATTAAATTTGCTTGTAAAAATTTTCTTAAACTTTGGAAAGGCTGTAGTTGAACTGAAAAGATAGCAGGAGAGGGAGAGGCTTAATTTTACATGGAATCCTGGATTCATTCTTGCCAGAGCAGGAAAATAATTTTTCTTTCCACGCCTTCCCCAGAGAGGCAGGAAAAATAGTAGTGAGGTTGGCACGTGAAGAAGTCTCGGGCCGTGTGAATGAGCCAAGGCTCGACGTCATCAATCAAAGCTTGAGCTGAATCTGAGTTTTCCCTCAAATTCTCGTGATTAAACTCTTGTCTGAGCTCAACTTTCCACTGAACTTCCCGGGAGTAGAAACAATTAATCAAGTTTGGGACATGAGAAAACTCGTCGCGTGTTGATCGTATTATTGTTTTGTCGTTGTGGTGTGTCGCCAGCACGTTGAAGACTTGGATCCTCTGGTTGGGGCAGGGCGTGCAGGGATTCATGGAAAGTTCTTGTCCCGACGGAGAGAAGAAGCTATAGCTTTCTTCATTTCCCCAGTATCCGCCAGGGCGATTTGCATGGAAAGACTTTCAATTCGGGAGTCAAACCTACGATTTCAGTTATACCTGGGAATTATGCTCGTTGGAATTTCGGTGGTGAGGCAGAGTCCTCTAGGATTCGGGTCACAAACTCAGCGTCTATGGTTCATTCCGCAAGATGTCAGCACGTTCGAATGTAGGACGGAGTATTCCAGGAGGAAGGTGTGCAAAATTCCGCTTGGAACACGGATTGCATTTCCTCTTAGGGGCAGAAATTCTTTTCAGGGCAATTTTTACGGCCTAGAATCAGTAAAATTCAGATTAATATTTTTGCAGTATGCAAATATCGACGTTATTAAGTACTTCTAGAGCGATGTTTGACCCTGGCCGTCGGGAAGTGCCATCAGAGATCGCGCGTCCGAAAGGAGCCGAGTCTAGAAAGCGGGAGGTGGATTTCCGCGTCGCCGGATGCCGAAATTTCCACGCTCGCTTGGGTTCGTGAGGGGAGGAGGCAAGAGGGAGAAAGTGGCGGGCGTCGTGACGTCATCGGAGTGGAGGGTCGTTGATTTTGTGCGCGGGGTTCCGTCGTGGCAGTTCCTTGCTGATTCCGGCGGAGTTCGTCAGGAGGGAATTGTATTCATTTGAGGTTGATTTGCGTGTTGGATGGCTTGGTATTTGTGCAAGAGTATCTCAGATAAATGGGCATGGAATGATTCGCGACTGAAATAGATGAGGAATCGGGGGAATCGCAGCTTTAGCGCTTTTTATGTATATATTTATTAAATATTTGCATCGATGGTGGAATCCATGAATTTGCCGGTTGTTTCTTTTCTCGGGGCGGGACGGGGGGGGGGGGCTCGTCAAGGGAAAGGGTCCCGGCTCTTCACAGTAAGCAGTTTTCTGTAGTACGTGCTGCTGCATGTGCGTGCGGTTAACTGGGAGCGAGGGGTTGGCAGAGGGAGCAGGGTATTCGGTGTCGGCGAAGTCGGAACGACATGTTTTGGAGAGCGGGGATAGGCTAACGTGAATTTCTTTGCCAATGTCCGCATTTGACCATAAGCAGATCTGAAAAAAATTTTAACTTAAAGGAGGCAAGAAGAAAAGCCGCCGCATAAGGCAAAAACAAAAAGAACAAGAAAACTCTGATTTAAAGGATACTTTGTAAAAAAAAATCAGTGTGTGCCAAGGTCATGCTACCAGAGCCATTCATGTTCAGGGTTCATGTGATTCCTGGAGTGAAAATGGGAAAGTGATGAATATTGCAATTCAATGCTAAAGAAGAAATGTCAGCGTACAAATAATCAAGGGGTATCTTGACTCATGGCCCACCCTGTATATTAGGGGATAAAAGCCTACCGGTGAAAACTTTAAAATCTTTTTCAAATCACTACTCCTCATGATGTGATATTATACCATCATAATCTTGGTTGGGATTGAATTAGAATATCTAGCATCAGAAGTAACTAAATACTATATTGCACTTACTGTAGGTAAAGAGAGATTCAAGATTTTGTGATGCACAAAGGAAAACTAAAACTATAAATGTGAGAATGATTTTGCTCAATTTTATTGATACATTTTTTAATCCTATTTATATTATGTGTACTTGCACTATATGGCAGTATTTCACCCAATCCCAAAACTGTGTTTGAGTAGTTTCATGTGAAAGCCATCCATGGACTTGATATCTGTCGTGGGCCTGAGACCGAATGTAGACCTACAGTGAATCTGAATTGTCTTCATAATTATTCAAGTTCTTTTCATGCTTTTTTTGAACCAACTCCATACATTTTTTGTATGCAGCAATGATATGGTTGCTAGTGATAAATTTGGAAAGCAAGAAAGAGGGAGGCCTGTAGGTCTTGCTTTTGCAGTACAGTCAAAATGTAATGTTATGCTTAGCCTTTGTGCCTTTGCAGGCCTACCATATAAATCTTTTCTTCAGGGAATGGCAATTTGCAAGACAGGAATTGGACTTCTTCAGCTTGATAGGCATGAGAATTCTATATGGATTTACTGACATCCAAATTGAGAGGTGATGGTTCTGAGTATTGCCAAGATTGTAATGCCCACAATGTGCCAAGCATCAATGTGAGTTTAATGAACATAACATTGTGGGCATGTGTTTCTTTTCCTAGATGTCTAAGCCCAGAACATTAAGTGAGAGCAGTGAAGAGGACAACAAAGACAGCCATAGCATGGGAGCCACATTGTGGCCAGTTAAAAGGCGGGGACCGAGCATGGCGAAACACGTGGGAAAGTCTCCGAAGAAGAGGCCTCGTATCGACGGCAACGAAGAATCGTCCAATCATGAAACCCTGTCTGGATACAGCAAGCAAAGTCTTGGCATGATGGCCAAGATGGGTTTCAAAGTGGGAAAGGGTCTTGGGAAGGAGGAGCAGGGCAGAGTGGACATCATCGAATCCAGCAAGCAGAAGGGAAGACGAGGGCTTGGGCTGACGGTCCGTGGCTTTGAAGGCACCAAGGCAGATTGGAATTTCTCTGACGAAGAGATCACAATCGAGGAAGAGGTCACGTGGATGCCGACTTGCATTCTTGCACCCCTCTCCTTGTCTGAACTTCGCAGCTGGGTGGAAGAGGGAACAAAGAGCCTCTCTCTAGATGGAGAGACTGCATTTTGTTCTCCCGAATTGCTTCAGGAGATCCTGTCTTCCAAGTCCATTTTTGATAGCCTGGAATCTGCAGAGATGGTGAGAGCAAGATCTAAAGCTAATCCCTTTGAGGCAGTTGGTGGAGGGATTTTTCTGAATCGGGCTGCCATGAAGATGGCAAACATGGATGCCGTCTTTGACCACATGTTTTCAAATCCCAAAACCCCAGATGGTCAGCCTCTTGTGGGGAAACATAATATTTTATATTTTGCTGATGTTTGTGCAGGACCTGGTGGCTTTTCAGAGTACCTGATATGGAAGAGGGGTCCTCTTTATGCCAAAGGCTATGGTTTTACCCTCAGGGGATCTTGTGATTTCAAGCTTGAGAACTTCTATGCTGTGTCTCCAGAGGGATTTGAGCCTCATTATGGAAAAAATGGAATAGATGGAACAGGTGATATTTTTGATGAGAGCAATCTGAAGACATTCAGAGACTTTGTGATGGAGCAGACTGGGTGTGGAGTTCACATTGTGATGGCAGATGGGGGCTTCTCTGTTGAGGGCCAGGAGAACATTCAAGAGATCCTGTCAAAGCGACTGTACCTCTGTCAGTTCCTCTGTGCTATGATGATTCTGGTGCCTGGTGGGAGTTTTGTATGCAAACTCTTTGACATCTTCACACCCTTCAGTGTTGGTCTAATTTATTTGCTGTATCGGTCATTCCATTCAGTGAGCATACACAAGCCCAACACGAGTCGTCCTGCAAACTCGGAACGTTACGTCATCTGTCGCAACATGAGGGCCGACTCGGCAGATGTTCGTGACTATCTCTTTGAGCTGAATTGTCGTCTTGGAGAACTGAGCAAGGCAGATACAGACATAATAGAGGTGGTCCCTCTTCAGTTTCTTCAAGAAGATGAAGGATTCTTTGATTACATATGCAATTCAAATAAGAAAGTGGGTGAGAGACAAGTGCTTTATTTAAGGAAAACACAGAAGTTTGCTCAAGATGACTCCTTAGAAGAATTCAGGCAGCTGGATTTGAAATCTCAGTGCTTGAAGGCTTGGGGAGTCCCCGAAGAGATTCGGAAGGCACCACCAAAGTTACCTCTTGATGATGTGCTTGTGAAGCTGTTGGGCTCTGACTTGAAAGAGTATCTTGAAGCAGTCCCCAAAGTCTTGTCAGCTGCCTCAATTTCCCATGATATTCACAGTGTTTACAATTACCGTTGTGTTGTGCTGAGTTCCAGTTCTAGCAATGGGGACAGTCAATTGGGTTTAATTGTTGGACTTGGTCGTTCCTTGGTCTTTATGCACTGCTTTGGGAGTAGGAGTCAGCGATGGGAAAAATTGTCCATCAAGTGTCAGCTTCCTCGTGAAACTGTGATAGTTGCCGAAATTGTTACCGAGTTCCATGGTGTTGCCTCAGGGTCAAAAAGGGTCCAAACGATCCACATCATTGATGGTATATTCCTGGCAGGGGAGAATATTGCCAATCGCCCCCTTATGGAGAGATACTGTCTCTGTGAACAGTTTGCCAAAATCATGAATAAGCCCAGTAATCCTACCCTAGCCATCATTCGAGCGAAAGAGATGTTCCGACTGGAATCAGTTGAACAGGTGTTTGAGCGATTGAAGAGACAGAAGCTCAAAAGTTATGGTGAACGTCTGGTTCCTGTATTTTCCCTCTCACAAACATATCCTCATGTCATGGTACCACGGGGGTTGTTCCTCATTCCATTGGTGGCACATCCATGGATGATGGCCTTGTCTCGCTCCATGAACCGCAAATACTACTATAACGTCATGACACGGGAGTCCGTTCATGAGGCACCAAATGACTCCATCAACCCAGTGAAATCTTCTCTGCAGGATTCCTGGATTTGGCCCCTCACCAATGAGGGACTCTGTGATCCTGAATGTGATGGGCTATTAGATTTTGTCAGTCGAATGCGAAGATAATGATTCATCAGCAATAGAATTTAAGTTACGATTTCTGGTTGACTTGCCTTTCCATCATGTTTTGATCCTTGGTCTGGAAGAATAAAATGGGTCGGGGAAAGCAAAACAAATTCACAAAATTTTTATATTGTTCTTGATGTTTGTTTCTTGCTGATGAAATATAGCCTTCCTGAGTGATAGCATTTGTCTGTATCCTTGTGGTATGGGATTCCTAAATGTCTCTTTTATTACTCTTTGTCTGCTCTCAGTCATTTTCATAAATCCCTCGAGTGTGCCAGTGTGAATTTCTGGCACATGGCTGCCATGAACAGTCGATGCATGTGTTCCTCCAAAGCATATCCCCAATGCCTAGGGTCATTTTTCATTAGATGTTTTCTTTGGGAATTTCATTGGTGTATCCTATGCAGGTAGTCAGGGAGAATTGAGAAATGCCCCTTCCTCCAGCCTTAGCTGCTCGATTGGCAAAGAGAGGTCTCATTAGGAAAACTGATCCAGGTTGGTGTGAAGAAATGTTTTATCCTTCCTCTCTATCCATGAGAAAATAATGGCAATATTTTCTCTATTCTTTCTGAAATGACAAAAATGAAGATATCCCTTTCCTGTTTTCTTCATAGATGAAGAAATTATAGCAGAAGATTATGATGACTCTGATGGCAAAAAAGATGCTGACAGAGACAACCAGGCAGGGGTGAGAAGGGTTTACATTTATTTCTGGTATGGTAACTTGAATATGCACCTGATTGTAAACTTTCAACTTACACCTTTCAGGAATGCCCCAACTGCCCCAACAAGTACAACATCTACCACCAGTGTTCCAAGTTTTGCTGGAATACATGGGAAGCAGCCAGGAAACCGAATCCAGACGACGAGAAGAGACGGATCCACATGCTGCTGAAATACCCACTTCCTCCTGGTTGGAGAGAGGCTCTTGATCCTGGAACGTGAGCAATTTTTTCCCTTTTATTTAAATCTGGTGAATATACAAGAATTCCTATTTATTATAAGGCGAGGGTACATTTTTCAATAGCAAGCATTACGTGCATCACTGATGTTTTCAAGTACAGCGGTTCCCACTTCAAAGGCACATTGCCTCTGTCCTATTGGCTGCATTGCAGCAATCTTACCTTGGACAATGCATTCCAAAGTATGCCCTCAATTTTCCAGGGGGAGATTCTATTACTGGAATGTGGACAATGGGTATGTGTCATGGCTTTCCCCAATGCATCCAAGGGCTGTGATCGGTCCCTGTGCCAGCAGGATCAGAAGTGAGCTTCCCCCGTCATACAAGAATGAACCTCAGAATGAACAGGGAGTTGCCCAGGAAGCAATGGAACAGGGCAGTGACTATGTAAGTTTTGTGTTCTGATTGCAGTGAAGCACTTTCACAGAATTTTTTTTTTTTACCAATGAATTAATTTTTTAAAACTTTCATTCTATTGAGTATTGTATAATTATGTCGCATTCTGTCCTGTCACTAGTGTAAATGCAACCCGATCGAGGGGGAAGTATAACTAGGGTATCGATCGACGATGACGAGTGTCTCTTTGTTAGGACTCCGATGAAGACGAGCGGAGATCGCGAAAGAAAGACCGGGGTGCATCCCGACGAGACAGAGACAGAGATCGCGATCGCGATCGCGAAAGAGACCGTGACCGCGACCGCGGTCGAAGAGGTCGTGCCAAGCCAGACGAATTGGACCCAATGGACCCAGCTGCGTACTCCGAGGCCCCGAGGTGAGAGACCGCATCTGTTCTTTCGCGATCGAGAGCTCGTTCCACGAGTGTCTGACGCATTGAATTGTGTGCCCGGCAGAGGAACGTGGTCGACGGGTCTTCAGAGAAGAAACGAAGCCAAGACTGGAGCGGACGAGACAGCCTCGGGACCCCTATACCAGATGCGGCCCTATCCGAGCCCTGGTGCCGTGTTGAGAGCTAACGCCGAGGCACGCAGGAAGTGATCTCAAAGATACGGTTTGGACGGTGTATGTTCTTTGTGTCCTGTTTAATCCATCGTTTCCTTCGCCTTATTCAAGGTTTTTTTTATCGGTACTGTCTGTCCCATCGCAGAAGGTGTGCTTCTTTTTTTGTTGTTGATTAAAAACATTTCTGAAAGTGATGCAGGTGATATTTTCTGATGCAATTGGATCGAATCGGATGTTACAAAGTCATGGTGCCATGTGGTGGCTGATGCTTTAGCCAAAACTCCTGTTACATACTCTCAAAGACCACTTCAATTTAGTTCCTGTCATGAAAAAATACCAGTTATTTATTGACTTCGTATGAAAAGAAGGTGTAGGTGTGGGGAGTGGGGAAATCCTTCATGTTACACACGAGTACCTTCGTCTGATGAAGAAGAATAATCAATAAATATGGCAAGTCGATACCAGGGCTGGCATTGAAAGCTAAGGGACGTTCATGGATGATGTGTCATTTGGGGAATTTCTGCCACTGAGGAAAAAGATGGCACGGTTGAGTTGTGATCGGCACATGTAAGATTCCTTTGTACTCTACAGTCCTAAAGTCGCTGAATAATGCCGATTCATCACTACTCTTCCCAGCAACGCAGCATAGGGAATCTTTTCTCATGAAAAAAAAAAGTGAAATAGAGAAGAAAAAGACGCATGTAATGCAGAAGTTTCCCCGAGTTCCCATTTCCATCCACGCAACTCCCATGCCCGATTTCGTCTCGCATCAGCTCCACCCATGCTGCGCTTAGAACCTACAACCATCAAAAACCTCCACGTTTCACGAGGAGATTTCTTCCGTGACTGGCAATCCCGAGTGAAAAAGTGAATAATTTTTCCTCTGGGAGAACCAGGACGGATGAGAGCCAATCCAGGTCATCTGGGCTAAATGGCTCTAGTAAAGGAAGGATGCCTCAAATCCCTTCCTTTCCTCCGATGAAGACCGTTGGAAACGTTTCAGTCCTTCTAATTGCAAGCTAAAAATAAACTTCGAGCAAACAGATTTGATTCTTATTCGTTTTCTTTTATTGACTTTCATCGGCTGCAATCCATTCAACCAGGAGGAAACACCAAAATTAAAAAAGTCTTTCTCGTCACTTGTCTCAGAGCAATGAATTCCAAAGGAAAACTCAAGATATATTGTAAACACATTATTCGATGCTCAATGAGAGTTTCGCGATGACGCTTGTGGGAACGGAGATATATGGATTAGAAGCCTGTGGATTAGGGCGGAGGTATTAAACCTGGAGAGGACAATCCTTGCGTTTCTCCGAGAGGTTCACGAACGCAATGTTCCTGATGTCCATTTCTGTAGTTTAAAGCAAATGCGAACATGTCGGACGATTATGTGCACTGATTGGTTTCTCTTGTGACCGGGAGATGGCGGTAGTGAGGATGGAACAGGGGTCTAGAACGCCATTTCTGGTCTATTTCGCTTCTCTGTGAGGATATGGTGAGACCATTCTTGATATATCGTCTATATATGTCTATGACATTGGGGAATATTATGGGTCGGAAATCTCAATGAAAGACTTATGAGGTCTTGTGATGGAAATGGACTGCATCGGTGGGATTAAGGCATCGGAGACTTCAGTCTTCAGATCCTTTTTTCCAATCACTCTGGTTTCCCTTCAAACCGAGTAAATCTTTCGCCTTTTACTAAAGATTTCCGTGGAGGGGAACAATCAAAGAGTCGATCTGAATTTCTTAAACCCTTCCCACGGGAGGGGTAACCATACCTCGTATGTCCAAAAGTAGGAATACCGAAAAATTTTCTTCTCCCAGTCCCCCCAACATATCAATACATACAAGTTATCACCTCCACTAATGTCACATTGATTCTTTGTGCGCTGGGACACCGCTGTAGTTTATAAATTTGGGAAGTGATTAGTTTTAAAATGTTCCGAGTCTAATTGATGACGGTGGAATCTTCCTCACCAGGTGTGAGTATTAATACCACGTAGTGGGAGGAAGCCTGACTAGAACACGGGAAAGGCCGAAATTTCATTGGGAAGAATATTGAACACTGCCCTTGACATGGTTTATGCTTCAAGAGAGAGAGAGAGAGAGAGAGAAGGGGGATCGTTGTCGATTTGAGCCACAACGAATTCGAAGGCTCGTTGTGAGAGGGGGGGGGGGTTTCCAGATTGTTTTTCGTAATGGCCAGTAGATAGCAGCAGAAGGGTAGCTGTAGGAATCTTCAATGTTTTTACACTGAATGTTTTTCTGTATTTTGTCGGAGCTTTATCGCAACTATTGCTTTTCCGTGAACGTTTGCATCGATCATTGCAGAAATGAATGAATAGGCTATTCTCTATAAATAGACAGATGATGCCATGCCGGGAAATGAGAGACATTCTTTGGGTGGGATGAAGGTGTCGGAGATGTCTATGTCTCTAGATCCCTCTTTAATTCGCTCTGGGATCCCTTCAAAGCGAGTAAATCTTTCGCCTTTTACTAAAGATTTCCGTGGAGGGGAGCACTGAATGAGTCTATTGGAATTTCTTACACCCTTCCCGCAGGAAGGGTGACAATATGGTCAAAAATACGAATCTCCTAATTATCCTCCTCCCAGTCCCTCAACAGTCATTAGTGTTATCAACAACACCTCAGTTAGCGATCGCGCTGTGCACGACACGCTTGTCATATGTGTGCCTTGCACATGCCACCGACCTCCAACACCACGCACCACAGATCAAAGACCAATCATGCAGGAGATAACTCCCATTCTTTCCTAAGGCCAACGGAATCGAGTGCGGCCATAGTCGATGTAGACCCTTAGCAGGTCTTCACCATCACTCTCTGCATTCCGTTTCCTTCTGGTCTGCACTGTGTTTTGCTATTTTTATTCTGCACAAGCTCGCAACCGCATAGGAAATTCCCCAGTGTCGCATCGATGCCCAGCACTATTTCCTTGTCCAAAACAGTCATCCAGGCATTTATGAAAACGTTGGATGTTGGTGTCCGCGAAAATCGGGATATATGTATATATAAACGGGTTTGGCAACTGATTCTCAACTGCAATTAAAGAAAATCATGACTATCCTGATGCATCCATCGATGGATGGATGTCATTATATCATTTTCGAAAGTTCAGGTCCATGCATCAACGTTTCGAAAACAGGCATCGTGACAGCCGTTCTTTTTCTAAGAGGTCTGGCCATTCAATTTGATATCATTTTGTTGGATAGAATGCCAGCCCGTCGCTTACAATATTCCGACTGGATAGATGGAGTCATCGGAATTTCCCCAAGTAGACACAGAGCCAGAACGAGAACCCCTTTTTTATTCACTCCATCTGCAGGTCGCAGTGTCGATTCCTTGTGCGCCGGGACACCGCTGTATTTATAAATTTGGGAAATGATCAGTTTTAAGATGTTACGAGTGGAATTGATGACGGTGGAATCTTGCTCACTAGGTATCAGTATGAATAGTAGAAGGAAGCCTGACTAGGGCACGGGAAAGGCCGAAACTTCGCTGGGATTAATACGTCCCAATGCCCTCGAAATATTTTATTCTTCAAGATAGAGAGATGCGGGATCGTTGTAGATTTGGGCCCAAAGCAGTGGCGTAGTGTTGTTGGCATGGGCCCTGGTGCAAGGAATGAAACGGCCCCACCTGTCCAATTTATTAATATTGATTTATGACGGAATTTTTTTTTTACTAGATTTTCTCCGGTAGCATATAGATCGTTGTGGGTACCTGAAATCAGCGTGGAAGGCAGTACGGATGAAGAAATGTTTCATGGTGGCTGTTTCTTTGTTCCCACCCCCCCACCCCCCAACCCCCTCATTTACCACCACCTTCTATCCTATCGCCTTTCGTCTGGGATAACAACCCTGAACATCCATTTAACAGGAGCTAATAAACATTTATTTATATGCTTTTTAAATAAATTTCAAATAGACTGCGAACTTGACGAGAGAAGGGGCAGTCGCCACCCCCTCCCCCCTGCGAAAAGTCCATCTCGCAAAAAGAGACGCGCGCGCGGAACGAAAGTTCAATGTATTAGCGGGGAATTTGCGAGCCAGGCTTGGAAGAGACGGGTGTCTCCTTCCGTCATGACTGCCGTGCCGGTGGATCGTCCATCCCCATTTCGCCGCCTTATTAATGTAAGATGGAAAGAACTTCATGTCATCGATTTCGTCCACCGGCTCTGCTTCTGCATATTTGTAGCTGTCCTTGTGAGTTAGGAAAGTGATAAATGCCTTCTACGTCAAGCCTTTAAAGCCTGACGGACCGGGAAGCGATTTTCCTCGGAACTTCATGCCAGACAGGAGAAGCTGCAACGAATGATGTAGCCGTCTTTTCAGAAGCGGGACTGGAATATTGCCACGATCAAGTTGAGGTCGCAAGGTGCGAGATATCGGTCGTATTACCAGAAACAGGAATCATTCTTCCTTTCAGTGCAGCAATTTGTTCTGTTTCCGGATCGGTCTTGCAATCGTTGCGATGATGCATTCTAAACGCATTCTGCACTACAGACTTTCAACGAGGGTGAGATATGAGTTTCCAGTTCTTTTCCAACCACGGAAATTGGCTATCGCACTCGGGGTCCGAATGAATCCGAGTGCCGATTTCCATCACTTCGCTTCAAGGAAATTTTCCATTAACAGAAACCATCGGGGAGGATTGCAGTCCTCAGATCATCCACTAACTCCCCCCAGATCAAGAATTTACGAGGCCCAGGGCAACATCACCCCCCCATTTAATTCGGCCCTTGGTGATATTGTTTGGAAGAGACCACCACTTCACTTTACGTCATGAAGCGCATCGCAGTTGCGAGATGTCTCTGTGCAGTGTCGCGTCGAATTCCTTTGATTCCTTTTCACCTTCCTATTTGGTTGCTGACTCTCACCTCGTCCCGATGCCAGAGGCTTCCAGCTAACACCACACCCCCCCAACCCCTTCCCTTGCCTTCACCCATCTTTGTAGTTAGGTGTCTGGGCCCCTCCGACCCATGGGCTTTGGTGCAGTCGCACCGCCTGCACATTTGGTAGCTACACCACTATCCCCAAGAAATTCGAAGGCTCGTCGTGAGAGCGGGAGAGGGGGTTCGGAGATTGCATTTCCTTATGGCCAG